TTTACAGTAACTAAAATGAAGGATTTTGTGTTTCAATTCTATTAGCAATCACAATTCATTTGTAAATTAAAAGCTACTGCTAATCAGAAACTCTTTACAATCATAGATTTTGATTTCAAGGAAAGTTTTGTACCAGGTTGCCCACTAAATTATCACGAAACGCGATGATAGGATTAAGATACTGATTCTGCACATTATTTCAAGCATTTTAGAAGTTATCTTAAGAAATGACTTTAAGCAATTTGAAGAAGTGCAACGATAGTTAAGTAGAACTTGTAGTGTGATGGAATGTGGCATATTCTTCTAATAACTGTCATTTGATAGCCTGAATTAACGAGGTTTTGTAAAACAGTTAGGCATTATTGCATTTTAAACTAAATCGATTCATTCTCAGGTCATGGTGTAATTTGTGTACAGTAATAGTATCGTGTAAAATTATTGCGACCAGTCAGAAAAGCTTGATTCGATAAAATTTTTATTAAGATTAATCATCTCACGCAGAATTGAGTTCATATATGAATAATAGTTGTCGTATACCGATATCATCTATTTAAACGGAAAAAATTCGAACCGTTTCATCCTCATTTGAATACGATAAGATCAACGATAATTATAATTTGTGATCAGTGGAAACTCCATATATTACAGCTTCATACCTGAAAGAATTAGTGTATGTTATTCGAACGAATTTCGTTTACCTACTTTAGTGAAATTTTCAGTGGTAAAGGATGAATTTACAGTTAACGATAGAAATAATCAATTTAGTTTGATCGAAGTCAAAGGCAGTCACTATCACAGATAGTAGCTTACTGATAATTCTAGTTTTATGTTTACTCAAAACATTTGATTTTTCCAAAAATAGAGACTGACATGAATTTAGTATATCGGTCATTTATATTCTAATTAATAAATCCTATGTCACTAATTGTATAACAAAACTCTCAATTACAAATACTGAATGTTGTGGTTGACTGGTGTACTTCTAAAGCAAAACAATAAATGTGTATTTAAAACTAATCGAGTAAAATGAATAAGACCATTATTATAAGTAAGTGCTGAAAACGTAGTGTTCAGTAACCAGATTCTCACTCATTCTTATACACATAGAATTGAACTTCTTTGTTATTGTGTAACCTGTGTTACCTAGTTATAGTTTCATTTGTATCATTCAAATGCGGTATGATAAGTTATTGACTGTTTAAACATTGCTTATATGGTGAATACTACTTATGTCAACAAACATAAGTAGTGCGTAACATCAATCTAAAGTTCAATGACTGGCATGAGAACGCTAAGAAGATCAAATTAAAGAAGACAGAACGAAAAGTAGAAAGGAATTGTAAATTGGAAGAATCCGACAGAATGTGGAGGTTATTTGGTGAAAGAATTTCAAATGAAGGATTTAATTTATGGTTCTTATATTTTGCCAAGATATTCTGTAATTTTGTATAAAATAATAAAACGGTTGTCTCCATTTGAGTTCTCTCTCACTACATCCAGACTATAATCATTATCGAATGAAAACCATTAAACAATAATGTCGCCTTTCGATAATTTAAATAAATAACAATTGATTTCAAGTAAAGAATTGGTTGTCAGTTACGTTTAGCAAATACTGTAAATACTTATTGGTAATTATTATTATGAGACATATCATATGATATCCTTTGATTTGCTGGATACAACTATGCAAAAATATGGTTGCAGTTTACTAGATTATTCATAGAGTTATACATGCTTCTAACTTTAATTCGTCCGATCACATTTTTATCTGTTTAATAATATTTAGTAAAAATGTTGAATTCAGATACTTCCATTTTATTTCCACAGCCATTCAGTCACAACGCATATAAAATAAATCAGTTATAAGGTGAATTAAAGTAGTACTGAAATCTGCAGTAAAATACGTTCGATGAATAGCCAGCATAGGTAAAACTCCAAATATGAAACTATTATTCAGTCCAATTCAACAAATAAATACATGATTTTCTGATAAAAATTAAGTGGGGGTAATTGACTGGATGGGAAATTGAGATACATATCAACTTCAGAGAACATTTGCGAGTAACAACTGTTTTTCAGTAGGTTATGTGATATACTTAATCAGGGTACCATTTATGATAAAAGATTAGTGAACACCTGTTTCGTGAATAGCGTTTTTTAGACACATATCCATTTTCTGTAGAATGTTTAGAGAAAGACATATGAGACATTTCGGTTAACAAAAATTCCCTATTGTTTCCCTAGTGATTGATTAAAGAAAATATTGAGATTCCTTCAATTGCTGAATGATGATCTACACTCATGACCAAAATTTTCTGTTTACTTTGTATCTTTACTACAAATCATCTAAATAAATTTCCTAGTGATTTTAAAACAGCAAAAGAAAAGTTACTCAGAAAGACTATAATTTATTTGATTATTAGTCTAGACATTTAGTTTTCAGAATTAGAATTGAATGGTTGTAACTATATGATAAAATATTCTTGTTTTACAAATAATTAGAAATAACTTAGAATAATAAAGAAAACAAAAAAGTACATTCTTAAAGCTTTTAAAACAATCTTTACTTAATAAACTTAAAGCGGCTTAGAGGATCATTTATTTAGAACAAATTTGATGTTGTACCAATGATGAAATATTCTCGAAATCGAATAAAAAATTATCAAAGAAAACATATGAGTTTGATAATCACTTTTACTTATCATATTCATAGATCAGATTTTCTATGATTTCCCCCTCCCATTTCTTTTAAGGTAACATTAGATGTTTTAATATTATATTTCATTTTCCATATTTTGTATATGGATTGTAGTTTTCTGATGATTGGTGAATTATTTCACGTTTATAAAATTAAGTCAGATTATCATTCATGGTGTTTTATTAATTCAGTTTATAACAAAAGTGAGTTCGAAAAAAAAGAACTTACATTTATGCATTTCTATGTAGCATACTTAAAATTAAAAAAACAACTTGTTATCAACTTCATTTAATACAAGATAAGACTTTTAGGATGTCCAATAATAATTTTTTTTCAATGTTTCTACAACATAATGTAAATGGCATTTAAATGATCAATTATTCTTTTTTGTTTTTGAATAGACAAACATGAAAATCTATTGACTTAAGTAATTTTATAATCAGCTCATATATATTTTAGTGAGACTATAATTTATGGACGACATTTGAGCGACGCCAAAGTGACCTTGAGTGTGTTCATCTAATAACTAGGACTAAATGAGGGCTATAAACCAGTGCGAGAAATTAGAAATATGATTTATAGTTGATGGTTAGGGTTAGCAATTACATTAAAGGTTTTCGTCACGAACGGACATTAGATATAATGCCAAAACTCTATTCAGCCACACGGGTGAATGAATTTCGCACGAAAATCTAAGACCTACTATCGTAAATCTGATTGGTTCGTCCATAAATTATAGTCTCGCCTACATTTTTAATTTTTTACTTCAATTTTTATCTGTATTGTAGATATAAATAGATTTCAATAATGTAACATTGCTCACTTTAGAAGAAAAAATGAAAGAAAATCAAGAGAAATATTTTTTTCAATGACTCTTTTCGACTTTATGAATAAATTTCCGTGTTTCGTTGAGATTTACATCAAAGTTTTTTTTAATTTTTCATTTTCTTTTTATCACGATATTTTCTTTTATAGACAATTTAGAGTAAACTTTAGAAAGTAGTCATATATTTTAAAATACATTTTATTCTTCCTTCTATTAGAAGAACACATGTGAGCGAACAATTGTTTTCAATTAGATCGTCATCAGGCTTTACTCTAATATATATGAATATTTATATGAAAATGTTAAGCCAGTCAAGGTAATTTGGGTCAATAATAGGTAAAAGTATAGGTTAATAGTAAGAATACGTGTGTACTGATAGTAGTAAGAATAATAAAATACAATAACAACAGTCATATCAATAATTAAACATCTAATTGATAGCGGTCATAATGTAGATAAATCAAAGTCCTTTTGAGTGATCTATCGTATTCCTCCATTATTTCCCAATGGAGTTCGTTCCCATCTCCTACATATAGCTGAAACCATAGGAAGTCGTACATTTTACTCCAATTTATGTGTACAGAAGAAATTCGTGATCCCCCTATCCCTTTCATGGACGGTTATAACTAAACAAACATTTTTCTATTTTATTTCTCTTATCATTGGCATTATTTTCATATCCAATATTTGTTTGTAATTTTTCGCCTCTTTCCGTTTGTATTCTTCACTATCTAATTATTTAAACACTTCCTATTACGTAATAGTTTTAATGTTTCTTGATGATTATTTTAAGTCAATTTTCCCACGTTTGATCTTCTATTTCCAATATTTAACTATTGATTAGACTTATTGTATTTTATTATTCTTACTACTATTACTACACCTGTCTTCCCACTATCGACTTATACCTACTATTGTGATTATTGACCTAAATCCATGTATATTACAGTAAAGCTTGATGACGATCTAAGTGAGAACAATTGTTCGCTTACATATGTTGTTCTAATTTTCACAATGGAAATCTTTGATATCCCTCCTATTAATCAGGTTGAACCTTTATTTATTAATAAAATTTATTTAGCCAAAAATATAGATAAGTAAGATTTTGAAAAAACTGAAGATTTGTTTGTTTTTCTTTGAAAAAGAAGAATGTACTTGAAGTTAGAGAGAGAGAGAGAATTTCTTTTAAAGTTATAAATAATTGTACTTTCAACATGAAATAATATTTTGATTAGGAAAAAATTTATAACTATCTCATTAAATAAATAATTAACAATTTGTATTTTGTCAATACACTGAGTTTGTTGTTTTTAATCAGATTAAAATAAATTTGTAAATGATTATGCACAACAATCAGTATTTTGTTAAGAACAATTACCGATCATATAATGTTTCTGTATATATATATATATATATATATATATATATATATATATATATATATATATATATATAATTTCTTTTAAAATTCATTAATTCATTTAAATAGAAAATGAGATAGTGATATTTCCAATTTACTATAACAAGGGCAACTTAATTAATATTAACAACAGTGTTATTTTTTTATTATTAAACTTTTTTTTCAACGTAATGAAAGTATATTGTACATTGTATTGTACATTCACTTGTTTTGTTTAATTTCATCCATAGCTACATATTATTAATATGAAGTACAATCAAAATAAAATGTAACAATTATAATGTGCTTTCCTGTTGATAAAAAAACTCGAATGAATTCAAATCAAAGTTTTATACAACAGTCATGAAATATTATTTTACTACAATTATTTGCCGTCTTTTTTCCGTAGTAAGTCAAATGAACAAAATATAGATTAAGAGTTAATAAGAAATTTATAAAAAGTATTGACAATAAATTAGATTATGTATTGTCGAGGTATATAAATTTTCTTATTATTTTTATGCATTCACTAACAATCTGGATATTTTACTGGTAATATGAGGTAGATGATAAAAGAAAATAAAAACAAGAAACAGTCTTTACCTTCCTGAGAACAGCAACTATTTTACTACTAAAGTGTAATGATATGAATCAGATTTTATATTATTCGTTTTGAATAAATAATTCAAGATATTCCTCCGAGTTTTTTCATTATTCATTTTAGAATATTATCTGTTACTAAGTAGAACAACTTAGTTAAATTGGTTTCACACAAAATAACATCTCTTTGTATGAAACCTTTTGAATTCACATATCCTCATTCAATAAGATCGTAATACAACGACCAAAGTTTTTAGTTTTCAACAATTTTCTTCGATACTATTGAAACATTTCATCAAAATGATGTTATCGTTCCCATTCAAATAATTGTGATGAAATAAGAATTTTGGAATAGTCCATAAGAATAAAATACAAATAGAAAACAAGAAATTTTGTTTTACATTATTAATATAAGAATTATTGTACAACTAAGTAAATTATTTCTACTACAATATGAGGAGAGGATGTTAAACAACCATATGACTTGATGTTACATAATATACATCATATCAGCATTAACTAGCTAGAAAATTCAGCTTATAATATACTATTCAATGAAATAATCACAACCAGATTTCTTATATCATTTTGTTGCTAAAATGATAGATAGATAAATGTATAACTAACATTTGACAAGTAATTATAGCCAATTCATTTCTATTTTATGTGATGTGAGTCACCTTGTAACCTTTTTTCGTCTTACTAATAAAATAATATAAGGAATGAATACAACAGACTTTCAAAAACAAGCAAACAAATATTTCATTTGGTGTTGTTTTACTTGTATATTCTTATCCTTATTTAGGACTGCAATTGATCAGTCTTATGTTGTCATATGTACAACCTGCGCGGATTGCCTCGATATAGCCTTAAGCCACAAGCTTTTTAAGCAAAGATGGATAGTGGCTAGCGGTCACAAATAGGACGAAACGTGCGTCCTGGATTTCACGGCTAGCCACTATCCATCTTTGCTCAAACAATTATTTCGTTTTAAAATCGAAGGATCAACTTTTGTGTCTGACAAAAAGAAATGTTTTACTAAAAATTATACAAACATGTTAATTCATTGTGTTAATTTTTTATTATCAATACACAAAATGTATTTTAAACTTACCAGTGTAAGATCGTCTAGATTGCATTGAACAGTATGGTTGCTTACAAATAAAACAAGTTAATTAGTTTTTGTTAATTTCAATCATCAATATAATTTTGAACAAAAGATTAAAAATTATTTATTTTTTGAATTTCTGTCTATTTAGTTGTATGTGTGCCAAAAAATATTTAAATGGAATAGTTACCTAATAATTTCAAGCTTAAGACGAACTCGAGTTGAGTTTACCTATTTTCCCCCGTTATTTTTAGAAATGTGTTTCATTTACAAAAAACGAATCGTCAAAAATGATATGTGAATGTAATGTTTAAACGTAAATTAACAAATGAGATCCATTGACATACTATGGATAGTTTCTTATCTATGTTTTATTTTTCAGTGTTTCAAATATTGTATACTAAACCTAATGGATCCTCATTTTAGTTTCATAGAAATTAAGCATTTTTAATGTATATGAATATATTTTAGAAAACATAAAATACAGAATTGGTCAAGGATGATTAAACGTCGAAATACTCAGAATATCTGTAATGCACATTTCATCGTAAACAATTTCTTATACAATATTATTTTACAAAGTACTTAAAATTTATGAAACATTATTTTCTCAATTGTCCTTTTAAAGGATGTATCGTTTCAGTTAAACAATTCGACTCAATTAACTTCTCTCATTAATATATTAATTTCAATTATAAATCATGTGTATCAAGAGTATTTGACAGTATAAAGCTAACTTATCATACTAAATAATTTCAGATAATCGAAAATATTCAATAATATTTTAGGAATTCTTATGCTAATATTTAAAATGACAGGATAATTTGTTCATGATCAACATAAGTACTATTGGAGTGTCATTTATGCACAATACTAGTATTACCATTTAAATACAACATTTAAACAAAACAATATACAGTTAAACAAGAGTAAATTATCCGATTGCATCTGACACTGTAAATTCTAAATTGATCATGGAGTCACATGTACAACTGTTTTCATAGCTAACGTATAATGATTAAGAGTAGAAGAATCTGTTTTTATGAAATAAAATAAAAATTTACAACTACTTTCCTATTTATGCGAATATTTATCTCTCATTGATGAAAATACATGTTAATAGTCAGTACAAAATTTACTACAAATTATAACGTCACTCACATTTGAGCATATAAAATGCTTAATCTAATTCCCGTTTATATAACAATGTAACAGAATAGACTTGTTTTTTCGAAATAAGAACTCAGTGAATTCGTTGATACAACATCCTGCACGTTCTATGACATTTTCAGCCTTAAAATTATTTATTGTCAATATACTGACCAAACGAATAAAGCAATACGTTGCTTCCTATCTTTCAAATTGCCATTTGATCTTCCCTACAAATCGTGCAATGATTTTACATTGTGGAAGTTTAGATTGAGTAATATCACGTCAAAATATGTGGTTATACACACGTAACTTAAATTAGGAGATTGAACTGCAAGTTGTTTCATTTGTTTCGTCACATATATTTTGGATTTTCACAAATGCCTAAATATTTGAAGTCGAACAACAGCTAGCAGTATTGTTGAAGTAGCTCATAAGATAGAATGAATGTAACCAATAAAAACATTTTGTTTTCTTAAAATATTCTAAATGGAGAGCACAACAGTGTAACCGGATAATAACTTAAGAGATGTGATAAAATAGGTGCCCTTATCATACAACAGATGACGATTTATCACGAAAAAAATTGTTTGATCGGTTTACTCAAAATAACTCTATTTAGTGCTGAACATATGTTTATTCTATTTAGACTAGTTTAGTACATCAGAGAAATGACACGAATGTTCGGTTTTGCAATGCTACCTTGAAACAGTTTGATAACAAGTCGAATAAAGATGGTTTAATGCTGTACTTTTCTGTCTACATTTTCAGAACTCTGTTTACTTTATATATACACGAATAGTGGTAATTCAGTTCTAGATGAGTTCTCAAGTGGCTAAGTCTGTCCTATGTTAAAAAAATGAATTCGATAAATATGCTGTACTTAACACTTGATTTTGTCATACAAGCAATATAACTTACAGTCTGTATAAAGTCGATATTTGTTCTTACTGAGCGCTTATTAAGTTTCTGAATTGTTCGATAATTATCAGCCATTCTACCAGATTCCCGAAATGAAGAAATTCGAAGTTGACGAAGAGATTTCAACTATAATGCAAAAATAATGTAAAAGTACATTTTTCTATAGATGTCGATTTTTTGTGAATTAAGAGAAATTTATATAAACATTGGTAGTAAATCTATATTGCATTTGGAATAATTCATACACAACAATTCATTCACAATACACCACACACAGTAGAAATATTTTAATTATTTTTAATGATTACTTTATTTACATGAGACAAAACTAATGAAATACTTGTTCAAAATAAGAGTTATCTGAATGTTTTTTGGTTTTGGGTTTATTAGAGATTGTAGTAATTTTAATAGTCGAGATCATGAGTTAATTGAAACTAGAACACAATGGAAAACCTGGAAGCACTGGAATGCCGTTTTCTACGTTTCACAGCTTATCATCATCCATTTGTGCTTAAAAATGCTCGTGACTTAAAGAAAATATTGAGGAAACCCGTTCATCATGCAAATATGCCTAGAAAGACTGACCGCATACGGAGCAAACGTACTGGGTGCGAGTATCAGAGTAAAGATCAACTTTAAGATAATAGGTCAACTCAGCTGACGAATGCCAAATGGAAGGATACTCTTCTACTGGATTTTCAGGCTAGTCGTCACTCAACTATGAATAAGAATTATATATATATATATATATATCGTTGTGCTTTGCATTTGTATGATACATTTCAATGTCAGTACTTTTTCCGTTGCTCAAAATAAGTGGATTTATCAACCAAATATCCCAAGTGTTATTGATTTCAGTGTTTTTATGTAAAGTTCGACAGATATTTGTGTAATTTTCTGTTTATATTTATCACCATAGTTGCTCTAGGAGAAAACTAACTAGTATTTATATCCAGGTTGGGAGATGAACTTTATAAAAGTGTTAAACAATATTTGAATTTCCGTTACATGAATTTAAATTTATGATGCAACTGTATATTTTTATATCACCGTTCGCGCTTATATTTTTTTGAAGAAATTAGCTATCGATTATGATAAGGTTAACAAAGATGAAATATTTTTTGTAAAGTTCTTTTAATTTTGTATCTGTACACTTACTTATTTATCAAAGTTTTTGTCATGTAAACGATGTATGTCATGATTTTTGTCCACATATATGGCTAATAACAAGTGAAAACGTACTTATAATATAAATATTTAGTGTCATTAAGAAATTGTTTTATATCTGGTCTGAATGTAGATAAAAATCCCATTCAAATGATACTAAAGAATAGCTGAAGTTGCCTTGTCATTATGTACAACTATTATGGATGTATATAAAATTCTTATCAATTAAATAGTGAACATTAACCAGAATTAGAGTATTTTTCTGAACGCTTACTATTTTTTAATGGCAAAACTAGAGAAACCAAATGATGATCTACAAGTTAACATTATGCTTGAAGACATTTGAGTCATTATAAGTTCATGAACTTAAAACGGTGTTTGATAAATCGAAATTAAAAAAGATTAGTGAAACAACACTTATTAGAAAAAAAATATACGTACCATGTCTCTGCTATTTGATTATAGAAAATAAATATTAGATATTCATTTGGTGATGTTATCAATTATTATGTGCATTAATTGTATCCTCACTTTGATAATTAGTTATTAGTAAATATGTATAATTTCAATAGTTGAAATCATGTGTCAATTGAAGCTAGACCACCATGGAAAACCTGAAAGCACTGGACGGCCGTTTTGATCTAGTATAGGACTCCTCAGCAGTGCGCACCCACGATTCCGCCTCTTCGCGAGCTTTAATTGACTCATGATTCCAACTATTGAAATTACTATGATCTTCACCAAACCCCTTCTGGAAATATGTATAAATTTGAATTATGAAAGATTATAATAATAATTTACTCAGTATTACGCGTTAAACGACTCTAAAAAAAATAACGAATATAATATCAATGAAGAATCACTTGGTCCGTCGATTAGATTTAACTTCAAATTTATTTGTCAGTGTTCTTTATATCGTAAATAATATTATAACAATATCTCTCTTAAATCTAAGCTGTTACATGGAAAGAAAAGAACAGATTTATAAATGGTTAATTTATTTTTTGAATCAATAAAAGTAGGCGCTATATTTGCTTTAATGTACATTTAAAGGGTTTGTTTTCTTAAATCATTCACAATGGTGTTGATGGGTTAACTCTTGATCCTTTTTTTCAGTCTTGATTTTCAACAATTCATTTGAATATAATTCGTACTGTTCCTTCGAACAATATTTTTACAACGTACAGTCGCATTTTCATGATCATTATCATAACATTATTTTGATTTCTTACCTAATTTGTTATTTTCATCTTGTTTGAGCACATTTATGACCTAATCAATGTTAATAGTAACTCATCTAAACAAGTTAATAAATATTGAGAGTAGTGCTAAAAGTAACAAAAAGTAAAATAATAAAATGGAGGATTTCAGAGAATAGTCATAATAAAATTCTTAGCTTTTGAAAAAATAATTAATGACAACTCAATTTGAAGGTAATATACATTCTATACTCAATGGTTATGATCTTTTTGTTTATTGACAAATTTCTGAGTAGTCGAATTATTTCTATTACCTTTTAATCAATAAAGATTTTCCTGATTATTTTAATCGATGAGTTATTTGCTATCGACATATCAGTAATGAGAAACGTGATTATTTACTGTATTGTCTATATTACTTTAAAATATTCAATTTTTTATAAAAAAATTTATATACTTAGGAATAAATAAACAGAAATTACTTTGTCGATTAACACGTATTTAGTAAGTCCATTTTAGTAATGTATTATCAGTATGGTGATATTTTATTTAAACCCCCTTTTAAGTGAATTTATGTTTACCTGTGTTTCTGTGATTATAACTGGTTGGTTGAGTATAATCCAAGTGACTGTTTCATAACAAGCAGGAAAAGGTAAAGAACCTTGATATGTCATATAGTGAACAGTTGATGGTATTATAGCATCCAACAACAAACCGTGAAGTTTTTTAAACTGTCCTACACAAAAGAGCAGGTAAATAAAAAAAAATGAAATCGAATTTCATTAGCCAAATAAAAATCTAAATAAATGAACCAATGGCTAAAAAAAGTAGTTTTATAAAATTTCATTAATTATACATGAATTTAATCGTTAAACTACTTGAAAATGAGATGGACTAAATCACAATTACTGAAACAATTAATAGGTTTTAATTGTTTTGCAAGATGTGTTAATGACAGTTAAACTGTTTTAAATGTCTGATAAGAGTAAAGCTATACCTAAAAAAAATCGTCTTCAGTAAATTCATTTAATGATTTGTTCAGTGATATTTATAACCGATGGACAAATAAAGTGGTTCATTGAAAAATAGAAGAGCGATTATATAATTTCAGAAAGTCACGTAACACTTGATAATTTAGGGGAGAATGATAGAAGAGAACCTAATGCATGAAAAACAACTATCCACTTAACGAATGAGAAAATAGTGAGAGAAGAAAGGGTAACGCGATAGTAGTGAATCATAAAAAAATAAGAAACATTAGAAGAACGTATTAGCAACAATTTGCCGTCTGTGAAAAATTAGGCGTTAAACCCATAGGAGAGTAGTACCTTACAGATGTAGCTTTCACAAACAGCGTTCAAGCTTGAGAAGATGGTTTGCTAACTCTTCTCCTGTGCATAACTTATTAAGTGTCTCTGCATTTGAACGTAATCATTTGGCTGTATGGACGATTTTGAAGAATAAATCCGGAAAGACTTCGCTTGTTTGACTAACGCAACCCGCCTCACAAGATCAAGTGAACGTATAGATCCACATTGATGAGACACGACCCAAGAGTATATTGCTGATAAATCCACGAATGATTAAGAGCCTTAAAAATACTTTTTTAAGGATTCAGTTCGACAAATTTTCAGAACTTCTACAATATTATCTCCTTCAAAATCATTGTTCATGAGGAAAATTATTTTTTAAAACTGGAGGTGTTGTGTATTGAAGTCTAGGTTTAATGAACTTGAGTGGACAGACAGTTTTTATGAATATCTATCAAGGTTGGAACACTTCGTTTGTTTTGTTTTTAGTGAATATTCTACTAGATGTTCAGAATAAAGATTGAATTAGGTTTCTTTTCCTGTTTGATAGGGCCAAGCTATGAAAATTCGTACATTAACCATCACTAACTGATTGAAGTAAAAAAAATTTTCGTCACTAAAATTTCTTTGATTTCTCTTCAAAGATGTTGCGTGTTACTTTTGTTTATAGTTAACAGATTTTAGTAGTAATTTATAGCCATCTTCGAACTCCATCCAACTTAACATCAGAGTAGCTTCATTCACTGTCAATATTTAAATAAACATCCCATATGTTATCTAAGAAGAAACAAAGTTACACATATTTTACCTAATAACTCAGTTAACCAACTACAATAAAGATTTCTCTAAGGTTTACTAGAATGCCTTTCACTAAACACATAAGAAACCATATCAAAATGTTTTTTGCATCCAATTCTTTCCAAAACATTTCGTTGACAATAATAGTTCATCACCATAATATTGCAAACTATTCATAGTATCAGTTTGAAAAGTAATTTATTATTTTTGATTGATTTTCTTTTCGTATCTAGCTACAAAAACATAAAGCCGGCGATTGAATGGTACGTATCTATTAGCCTTTTATTTATTTCATTTCACTAATTCGATATGACATTATATAAAGTTGATTTTATTGTGAGAGAGCAATGACATTCATGAACGCTTTATATAACCGTATATTGTTTCGAATATAAATTCTTATAACAATTGAATGGCTAGCGAAAAAGAAAGGTGTTTAACTTTTCATACAACATAAGAATATCACTAAAAATAGTTGGTTTGTCAATCAAAAATTAATTACCTACGCTTTTTTTCATTTGATGATGATAGCGTGTTTGATAATTTCACGACAAAATAACTTATATTAAATCTTAGTCAATAATGTAAAAGTTATGAATTAAAACCTGTCTTACTCTAATAAGAAGTTAAACTATAATTTTAAAGAAATAATTATTTATTGTTATTACGTCAATATATAAACAATGAATAATAGGTAATATTGTCTGTGATGACATACCTTTCAACTGCACTTGATCTGCTATAGAAAATATAGCTTCCAAATCAGCTGATGACTGACCACCGACCTAGAGAGTTTGCGAATGGTTACTTTAATAATAACAATAATAAACTGAATTATGCTTATACAGTTTAAATACATACTTCATAATAATAAAGCTTTTTAATGATTTTTATTACATGGCTGTAAAAGTGGACCAAAATTTTGAAATGAAACAAATATTTTCACACGTTTGTGATTAAGTAAAACAGTAATGAGTATTACAAATAGTTAATGTTTGCACTGCATTCATGTTTAATAAATAGTTATTTATAAAGTTGAAGTTACTGAAAATAGAATGACAGTATTCACTATATAGTTTTAGTCAATATGATAAAACTCCCTAAAGGTATAACATAATATGAGAAACGTTGTATTGATCAGATTAAGTTACTTAATATGAAGAGAATCATGTTTATTCAAAGTGATGGGTATACAATTAAGCACAGAACGTATCTAAACTATATACTTTTTTATAGCTCCATTGTGAATCCTATCATCTCCAGTTTTTAATTGCACACTCATCATTCATATTTCATGATTTTCTTATCATCAGTTATGTTATTTACACCAACATAACATTTTTATATTTTGCATGGTTGTTTCGTAATGAATGTGACTGAACACCTTACAGTGAATATTCTTAACTTTATTTCTAATGAGCGCTCGAGCTTATAAATAATACTGCATGAAATTAAACCATTATCGATTTACTAGTCTGTTGTCTAGTTTAGTCAAAACTCACGTAAATTCGTCCAATTTTGATTGTTTTAAGATACATAGCCTTACTATTAAACTATTCCAAACTGTTATTTGACTGTATAATCCTCGATATATAGATGACTAATTTCGATAAGGCAATGGGAAAACGAAGTTTATCAGAATTATGTGATATATATGAGCAATAGATTTTTAACAGTCTGATCACACATATACTTGTTAAGATATTTTTATATGAAAATTGAAAGATCAACTAGACAGGTTAAAGGTAAGCCGTAACAAAACAATAAATTACACAAAGACAATGTGATAACCACTCTGAATAACAAGTCAGTATTACCAGGGTAGGTTAAGGGTAAGAACAAATTGTCTTTGAACCCATAAAGAGGGCTTCAGTTTCCGTATAACCAAGGCGTCAATAAAACTTAGTATACGTTCTTGAAGGCTTTTGTGCAACACTACAAATGCTGACGTGATGTCAACCTTATGACCAGTCTCAATCAAATGTTTCGCGATGGAGGAAGAAATCTGTCTATCCTGTGATCTTATTCGACCACTGGAATTCATTTGCTTTCGTAGCCATTTTGGTATGTGTTCACCCACCCTTAATTGCAGATGACCATTGCTCTTCCCTGTGTACGTGTTACCGCACATACAGATCGTTCGAAATGTATTGTGCAAATATATTACATAATTCTGATAAACTTCTTCTCATTAAATAGCTGACTAAGTCAAAAAGTTATATATCATTCAAAACTTGTTCTTCCTAATGTAAAATTTTACAAAACACTCAAATAATTGACGACCGTAATAAAAAGAACTGACTTTTATCTCATCATTATTGTGTTAATGATAATAATTATCGGAAGTCATTTTTTGACATGAATTTTCAGTTGGTTATTTGTACAAAATAATTATCAGTCGGCAAATCATATTTCGTAATACTGACAGTAAAATAAATATAACTATACTGTTAGTAAATTGACTTTTTCGTCAAGATTTCATGCACATAACTCTTTTCTATTGGAACACTTAATGAAGCTTTTTCAAAACTTATCAGATAACATAAATTCCAAATTCGGCAGTGTTTTGATGTAAAAAATAAACGTCTATCATGAAAAAAATTATACAAATAATGAATTCACTTTTCTCAATAGAAAATACGAGAAATTATACCGTTTAATCAAGCAAAATGAGACAGATTTAAGTCCATTGTATGCATCAACTAAATTTTGATACATTTAGTTATAATGTTATTAAATCTAAGGACTATTATTTGTACTTCACTAGTGAACAACTTATATATTTTTCAACAAGTAAGAATAACAATTGAAATGCGTGAAAATTCTATGATTAATAATTCTTGAATTTATACATGGTATTTGGTTTTTGCGGTATTTTAAAGTAACCAGTGACTAAACACGTTGATGTTGAGTGAATGGAATTAAATAACATTTTCTATTATTATTCAAGCAACCTAAGGAGTTATTAGACATATCAGTGTACTGCTGATTCAGCAAATTTTGGTCTAGTATAACAGTCATTTCAATGAAAATAGTTTATAACGTATAAGAATCACTTACTTGACAGAAGATAGACAATACAGCTAACCCATTCGGTTTAGATAGTGCAACAGAAAAATTTGGATATAAGATGTAATTGAATGCATATAATTGTAGCTGTCAATACGAAAAAAAACAATGTAATCTTAGCATAATAAAAGTCACACTTTTTTACCCTTAATAAATTAGCTCGTACTGAAATAGTCGCAAAATTCAATGGAAGGACTCATTATATAAAACGTCAATAAATTCTGTACTACCTAAGAATCATATTACATTAAAGTCTAAACCCATCTATCCACCTTTATTCAAAAAGTAGTACAATCATTTCATGTATTAAAATGCACGATATTTCAAGTATAACTAGATTGTTGTTGTTACAAATATTTTTAGAATTGAAATCCATGTAAAATATCTGGTTTCATAAATAATGAACTCAGAAGTATACGTCTGAGGAGAATAAACGTCAATTATTTCGGCAAAATACAATAATTATCCCATAGGAAAATCAAGACGCTTTCAGTTTTTCCCATGACTAAATTTTAGATAATCTCATAGTGCTTATGAAATTATTTCATACGAAATATATTTTCACCTTCAATCTATGCATAACAATTAATTATCTTTACAAACGTACTTTTCTACAAAGTTTCAGTGGCATAAAATATTTGACCAAATTGTGTAATAGAAAATATTGCAATAATTCTCAGTTGATCAATAAATTAGAATTATGTGGGAAAAGTATTGGTGATATCAAAACAGTAAGAATATTGTAACTGAACATGACGTAAGAAACCACTGATTTTGGTATAATGATTAAATTTTATCAAAACGGCTATTCTTTTTGATAAAATATCGACTTTTGATGAAATGATAACTTAATCATCTTTGTTCTGGCATACGGGTTATTAGTTAATGCAAAGTTTTTAAATCTGTTTAGAAATAAGTAGCTGAAGGCATGAATGTATGATTCAATGTAGCGCAACAATTTTTTTCAAACTACCTGCTAGCCCTGTATTGTCCTGTCTCTTAATTGTCAAGTTAATCAATACATTACTGTTTTTTCTCGTTTAATACTTGCAAAATGAACATTTTAAAAAGCGTCAATCACTTTTGTCATTTCTCTAGTATTGGGGTTGTCATAATTAGTCACTTTTGTTTTCAGAAGCAGCAATGCGGTACTCTACGGCATGATTGTGTTCTAACTAGTCATAAAGTATACAAATCATTTTTGATAGTGGGTTCATATCTACTTTATTTAAGTCCGTTAACTTTTACTAATAAGATAGTAACTTACTAGAATTTAATCAAGCGTATTGCAAGAGTAACTTACAGAAAAAGAGGTTAGACGACATCATATGGTTTAAATTATTTCATTCATATAATTATGTAGTGCAAAATAAATTTTTATCGTATATGAATTACAACCATTATTACTTGGGACAAATAAGAGTATAAACAACTAAATTTGGTTGAAAAAAAATGTGTAATTAGTTTTAGCTAATGGTAGATGGTCCCTCGTTTGGAATTTGAAGAGCAGTATTTACTTAAAACCGGGTTTCCAAACCTGACTGATATCAATCTCCCTTCGAATATCTATATTTGGGAACATGTTCTCGAATTTATGGCGCTGTTTCTTTTACTGTTTTAGATTTATTTTAATATTTAGGATTACATTAAAAAATTTGGAACACAGAATGCATATTTGCACAGGAATTTACAGCCTTTCTGATGAAATTTAATAGATTATGATATTTTGAATGCGTCACAAACGATCTTATTACATTATCGAAACTTATAAAAGGGACTAATTGCTTTAGATCTTAGCTACATTTCTCCTATTTCCGTTTAAAGTGAATGTGAACTACAATGTTATCATATTCAAATAATAGTTGCTCTTCAGTCACTAAGTATAGTTCATAAGTATTTTAAAGCAATCAACATCTGTCTTATTTAGTGTATAAAATAAATCATTGTACATATTATAATCCATGAGATTAGTTGCGATTCACACACAACAACAAAAAATTTTTATCTAATAGTATCAAGATTTCTACCTCTGCCGGAAACGCAATACCATCAATTTGATGATCTGAACCACGACTTGATCTTGAACCAAATTTTATAATAGCACCAAACAGCTTGTAGTCATATACCAATGGCCCTTCACTGAATACAATTATTGTTGCTGAATCAAGAAATTTCATTTGTAAATCTTGTCCGGTATTCACTATTTCCACGTCAATCTGAAAGAATCGTGCAAGCAAACGTTTAATATCTCAACTATTTTCTGTTAGCTAAACAATATACTGTGGATTATACATCATGGTAATGTGCGATTGACCGACCATTAGCTGATTTATATCTAGCCTAATGTCAGAATGGTTTGAACTGTGAAACAAAACTTAATAGTTTGTTATAAAATAATATGAGTTAAACTTTAGGATTTTGTATCTAATTCATCTATATAACTAATGCTTACAAGTATATACAGCAATAAAATAATAAACATGTTTTAATAAGAATACAATAAATGTAACTCCCAATTACTTCAAATGAACCACCATATTTTAGGTCTGCTACAGAAAATTAAAAAACTATATATTTGGACCAAGCGCTGACCTGTTTATCTAGGCCTAGTATTTTTATAGGTTCCAAATTAGTATCAAATACTAAATGCTTTGTAGAGATATTGATTGGTGATTGCATTTTTCCTTGATAGCAAGCTGACCAAATGTCATTGGTAATAGCCATAAGCGCCGTCTGCCCCCAGTGACTTGGACCTTGATGAGGAGAGAAAAAGAATATTAAAAAACGATTATTCTGATACGAAAAACAAACATTGCTAAGACAAGATATGTTTCCTTCATGAATTTTAAAAAACCAAAAATAGTAGTGGAAGCAGATTTATACGAATTCATTCTCATTAAGTTGTTTTCATCGTCTTGCGACAACCGTATTTATACTGCAATATAACATAGTTTCAAGCAGTAATGATTGGTTGTTGATAAACTAAAATAACAGTGGATTGTCAGCATTGTATAAATACATGAATGTGCAAAGTCATTTAAGGGAAAGTATATAAAATATAAAGCGGGTAAAACCTTATTAACACAAAAGATAAAATTGCGAAGACAAATTGGGTAGTAATTATAGACGATCTTAAAAATTTACTCAATTTTTAAGGGGTAAGTAAGTAAAATTCACGAATGAATGGAAAATTAATATCAAAGTGGATAGCTGAGTGAAGTATGCTAAAATGTAAGTAATAATATTCTGGGAAAATTAAGTCAGTTCATCGATTTAATGTGGGATTGCAAAAAGTAATTCCCGTATAGCACGTAAATTCGCTTTGACCTATCAATAAATTGGGACATGCAGGCAAGTTTAACAATTTTCTCCAAATGAGCGTAACGTTCCAGGACAGTAGTTTTGATCATAATATAACACTTCTACGTTTTTTATTTCTAAAGTAGCATTTTCTTCAAAGTACTTAGTTAATTACCTCTTTTTACCCCTCGTCGCGTAGCATGGACCACTCACCAGCTTTCTCCATCCAACTCTGTACTCAACAATCCTTTCCGCTTCTTTTCAGTTGCTATTCATCCTTTTCATGACTGCTCCTGATTCTCCACACATTGCACTCTTTGATCTTCCTCTTTTTTGTTTCCACTCAGGATTCCAAGTTAGTGCTTGCCTCGTGATTCAGTTTGATAATTCGCTCACTGTATCCTATCCACTTCCAGTGTCTTTCCCTAATTTACAGCTCAGATGGAAGTTGGTTTGTTCTTGCCCACAATAGGCTGTTGCTGATCGTATACGGCCAATCGATACTGAATATCTTACGTACAAAATTGTTTATAATTACTTATCTCTTTTTGATGATGGGGTAGTTCTTCATTTAGCGTAATATTTATTCATTTTCAGTATGACACTTGACTTTGGTTCTAGGATCAGTGTAATATATTAGTCGGAACAATAATGGGTTCATATCTCATAACGTAACATTATCTCAAATCAATATGTTTCTAAATAATTAAGCGTAAATCTTGTTCAGTATGACAGATGTAAACTTTCATTCAATGTAACAACCATATTCTCTGTGTTATCCTATGCGAATTTCGAATATTTTTACGGTAAACCTGTATACCCTTTTATATGCATGATATTTATTAGTTAAGAACCAATAATGTTTAGAGCCAATGAATTGATGTCTGTGCGTGGTTCAGTGTCATTCTGTTTTTGGAGAGTCAATCAAACTTCATTATTGGTTTTGTGTTGTCGTTTCCCTTCGTGGGAATTACAACGGTTATCGTTTCTAAGCAGAAGCAGCAGAACCGTGAATGCTACGGCATTCTAATTGCCACTTAAGAAATGCTTTCGGTTGCATCTGTGATTAGTCATCTGGGTGTATCTGCATCCTAGTGTTGACTTTCGTGCAAGGACTTGAACCTAGGATCTCTCACTTCAAATGCCCGAAGCGTTATCCACTAGGCCTCTGGGTCGAGAAAATCTTACAAATTAAACAAAATCCATTCCGTTGCGCAAACGTATGATAGAATGACTATACCGCGGCAACCAGCACGAGATGTACATAGGCCGACTGAGACTGTTCATTATTCAGTCAAGAGTTTCAGAAAATGCACAAGTAATAACTTATAAAGTCAAATAGTGTTACAGACGCTTTCTAAACTTTGGTTTAATCCTCTACTGCCGTGAATATTACATAAACAATGTGTTATTTCACATGCATAAGTAGGAGATTTGGTAAACAGCGACTTCTCTTATCAACTAGCTTGTTGGTCTATAAGGACAGTTTTGCTTTTCGTCGCTTATTATTCATTGAATAAATTTTGAGCAAATAAACTTTGATAATGCATATCACCGAATATGAAATGTTTTCCAAGGCACCATTTTGAAAAGGTCCATTCATTTTTTTGATAAATATCATTTCTTTTCAAATAAATCGGATCAACACATCATCAAGTATAAGCATTTGGCACAGGTTAACTCTGGTAACGCTATGTTTACAGTCGACGGAATTTTTTCATATGATAACTGAGTTCGTTATACGCAACAGTGATAGTAGATCCTTAGTATACAATTAGTAATGGTTTTGGTGCTATTTTTGGTATAATACTGTAAGACTCTCAAAACTATTTCTATTTGTTCCTCGGCCACAATGAATTCGCTTAAGATCTATATTCTATAAATGCACACAACGTTTCAAACTTTGCCTCACTTTGTAACTATGTTTGTTGAACAGCAGTTTGAAGACGAACACATATTACCTCTTGGGTAAGTTTCTTTCCTTAGCAAGTCTAACCGACCTTAACATCTCCCCACGATTCAATCAAAAACCGTAAAAACATTATGAGCATTAACTTAACAACACTCTCATAACATCACGATGAAAAAATTTCTGTATTCAGTGAACGCCTAAATGAGAAGTTTGCTTTATTTTGAAAAACTTTGAAAATTTATTTTTCTGCTTGGAAGGATAAAACTAGAGTATATTTTAATTTTTATCGTCATCACCAAGGCATATATTATTGTAAAACATGATGATTTAAATTAGATTTATTCCCAATGAATTTTTCTGACTGTTTCATTGTTTATTGCAGAGATTTCCACTTGTTAATTTACGCTTAACTGATGATAACTAAAAACGTTAACTGACATTAAACATGTCGAAAACTGAGCTCTTATCAATTTAATTGAAATTATTAGAAACCTTGCCTTTGTTTGCAGGCTTTTTTTATTGTTTCATTGTAGATAAGGAGAGCAACAAGGATATTCATGGGCGGTTTCTATTATCTGTAGGCGGTCTTTAGGCAACTAAATTGAGTAATTAGCAATTAATTTAGTTAAATTCATCTAACGAAATTAATTTGCAAGTCCTTATTTATAACGTTTAGACGCTTGTACGTTTTAACTCATTTTTCATTGTGTTAGCTGTAAGAATAGGCAAACCTCAATTTCGCCAATTATAATTGTATTATCACAGTAAACTGATGTTATATAAATAGTTATCTGGTTATTAAAACATTAACCTGTGTAAGAATTGTATCTATAAGTTTTATTAGGGTGCTAAAACTTCGATGATACTTTCGATATTCAAATCTTAGACACTATATATATATACAGCTGACTAAAATCATTAATTAAATAAAACGCTTTGACATAAGATGAAATACCTCCTATTACACCTTCTTTGTAATGCCACCATGTGTCCCAGGTAGGATCCCATGAACTTTCTTGCCACACAGCATTAAGTGACTCTGAAAATATTTGGAAAAAATAATTGTTTGATTATTAAATTTACGAGTTAATAGTGCTGACATTTTTATCTTTTATAAATATAAGATTGTTGAGAAGAAGGACACAATCAAACGAATTCGAGAAATATTTCTTACACGTATTTCATGTAGAGGACTACTTTTGAAAACATCTAGAATAAAGCTCTTATTTCGAGTAAACAAACAAAGCGATAATTTTAATGTACAACTTACAGTTATTAAAAATAAAAAGGGATTCCTTGGAGTTTTATTTCTCCACAACTTGAAAAAGTAGGATCAGAAAAACTAGTGAATAATACATAATCCTCACGAAATCATTTTCTTCCACTACTCTGGGCATTTAGAATGTTTGACAATTATCCATAGATGAAGCACTTGCTTTTCGTTTATTAATCTTATACATGAATGTGCGAACATAAAGTTACTACTAGCAATTGTTTCGCCAACTTTTTGAACGCACAACATAAACAATAAGCTACATTTTAGTTGTGTAAATCAAAATCACTCGATCTCTATAAGGAACCATATCTAATGAGGAGGGTGAAAATGTAGCCAAAAGTTAGCATATTATTTAATTATCGACTGATGGTGCAATTTGTAAGGTCATAGATGTCGCACGATAAAAAACGTTTTCTCCACTCAGAATAAACTAGCACTGTTAAGATTCTATTCAGGAAACTGAAAGCTGTTTTATCTGATGAATGTTTTGACGAGAGAGTTGACAAAAATAGATTGAACTGTTTTGATAAAGGGTGCTTGAAATATTTCCCAGAAAATACAATTTCCCAGGAGCTTACACCAAAGACGTTGAAATAACTAGCTTTAACGATATTTAGTTTAGTTCTTTTTACTTAACGACATCACATAATTTTCGGCCTCACAAAGATTCAATACATTACTTTCTCATGTTGTCTCTTGTCACATTTATCAAGTGACTGAATAATTGTTCAGCGTAATTTTCTAAATTTTAACAATCATAAGATTGCACATACCTTAAAACAATATTTACTGTTTTATGTCTTCTTTTTAACTCTAAAACCACTGGTAAAAGATACTTTAACAATAGATGACGAAAATGAATGACAGGAAAACAACAAGTAATATTTGGACTTTTACAAATAACTAAACATACATTTTCTCGAGCAACAGAACTTAACACTAAAAAATGTGACTGAGAATATGACACATGTTTTTAGATGAGCAAAAATATAAGTCACAGATGGTTTAGGTACCGTTTGTGGTCAAAACCTTTCGCTTAAATATGAAGTCAACTTTATTACAAGTCACAACCCAAGTATAAAGATGATGATGACTGTCACGTCACTTAAGTTTCACGTTCTAAACAAAGTTTAGTATATGAAGCATTTTGAAAATACATATTTTAATTGATTCCTGAACTAACTTCTGTTCAGTGAATAAACAGAATATTAAAACTAACAATTGAACTGACAAACCGCGAAATTGCGAAACCGCGATCTAATTAATAATACATATCACAAGATGTGGTGTGTCAAATCATTCATAATTTATGACTTTGAAGATATAATCATAATAGTTTGAAATTGGATTGTAAAAAAATGTCTGTGTAGACCTAACGGAATGAATAATGCTTTTGAGAAAAAACCGGTCTGGAAAAGGTAACTTTATCTTTGAAAAGCTATGCAACGCAATTAATAAAAATATGATATCGCATTATAAGCGAAACATTCAAAATATTTTCAACCGCAAGGTCCCACAGATTATTGAAAAACGGTAAATTTGGAAAGGCCCTAAAAACACAAAAACAAGAGTTGCCAAAACAGCAGTATTAGAGCATAACGCAAACAAAATCGAACAAAAAGCCTGCAATCCCAGATACAAATAATGAACAAACACTAAATAAAAAACACACCTTTAACAACCGATCAATAAATACCAGGAATTCAAGAAATATGACAGAAAACAAATAATATACGCATTTGGTATACGGACCAAACACACTGAGTTTAAGACATTTTAAAATTATTTTAGTCACGGTGGATGATCGACGATGATGCTGTTTCACGTATTTAAAACGAAATTCCTGACCTCATCCAACTAAAAGAAGATGATTATCAAAAGGCCAACCAAACTCTAAATGTTTCGTCAAAAATATGACATTCGTTCAAATTTACGAATCCTGCAAATCAGTGGATTAATAACAAACTGAAAGTGGTAACAACTTTGGCAACAAGACTAGTCTAGTGCTTAAGTTAGGTTCATGCGTCATAAAGTCTAAGAATAATTACAAAAAGCGATAAAAAGACCAAGACGTTTGACGAAGTTACCGGATTAACAGTTGAAACATTTTCGGCCAATTCTATTAATGAGTCAATACACCAAATTGGCTATCAAACGATAAGCGTTTCTTTGTACTCGTCTTATGTACAAAGTGTGACTTATTTCTTTACGGTAAACTATTTTAATTGATCTTTACATTGGAATTAGGCTTCCTTTTGTGAAAAAGGTCGTCTACTAGTAATATTATGGTGAGTACACTACTATTGATCATTCACACATGACCCAATGCCAAAACATACATCTTTAAACTAACAGTAAAAATTTAAATCGCTTTTAGTTCTAAACTTACAAATATAACGGCAACTATACAACTTTCATCATAATGGCATTTTTGGTTTTGGATTATATACAGGCAAATGCAAGACAATATGACTGAAATTACATTCATGTTTAAACACTCAGACGGAATTAAAGATTTATTCCACCGAACATAAGCTTCTACAATACACATAGGCCACTGAGTGCAATAATAAACCAGTTCAGAATGCACAAAATGAGGCAAAAATTTTCTTCTAAAATCAAGAAACTCATTCCTCAGTGAGTTTAACTTCTGTGATTGTTTCTAAACGCCAAGTCATGTCTCGTGGTCCCGTAACAAAACTGCATGTTTATAATAAAACCTTGAATCAATCTTTTAAGCTGAGCAGCAAACTGCAAAGAGATCGTTTTTAGAGCCTGGATATGAAGGTAAAAGACAAAATGTCGTTTGAGAAGCCATTTGAAATACATCTCCTAATGTTTCATACTTAACTTCGAACTGCTGAAATATGCCTATTTAAACTTCGGCCATATACGAAACGTGTACTCATTGAATACGCGTTCAGCACATCGATTTATGATGCTGTCGACAGGCAAAATATGCATGAAATAGAACAGACTCAAGATAAAAGTCTACTTAGCAAACTGGTGAAAGAAGAAGGTCCACATAATTTTAAAAATCAGCCTAATTAAAGTTTCGGGTGGCAATTAACTCGAACAGAACTGCCAATGTTTCTTATCCTTGCTAAACAGACAAAGTAAATTTGACACTACACTTTAAGTATGCAAGTATCAGACAAAGGCCCTTACAAGTTCGCGGACTCGTCTAGGAGAACGATAAACCCAATCTCCTACTTATGCTATAAATCCTAACAATAATACAGCACTTAAAAAATTAAAATAACTTACTGGTTATTGTGAAGGAAATAATAGCAAAAACTGTCAAAATTCCAAAAATCATTCCCACAGACAAGGTGGGCTCATCTGTTCTCTATGGTGAATTTTCATTATAACGAAGCAATAGTCTTAATGAAATGCGCAGTATTAAGTAACGGATTTAAGTTTCCAACACTTAAGGTCGTATACTTAACATCGTATTCAATGCCCAAAAACTGAAGTAGGTCGCGTTTCAGTATTCATTTATTTGTACATAGGCTCAACGCCAATCTTTTGCGTACAATATCTTAGGTCATGTTCATCGTCAGGTTCTGCCGATTGGACGGATGTTAGTATGAGAGATCACTAAGGTACCCAGTTCGCTGTTGAAGTTAGAATTCATTTGATTAACACCATTCAATAAATCAGGTTTTTACTAAACTAGCTACTTGATTATTTAGGAAACAAGGATGTTTAGAGCCAATGAATAAATGTTTGTGCGTGTTTCAGTGTCATTCTGTTTTTGGAGAGTCAACCAAACTTCATTATTGGTTTTATGTTGTCGTTTCCATTCGAGGGAATTACAACGGTTCTAGTGTCTGCTCCTGATTCTCCACACATTGCACTCTTTGATCTTCCTCTTTTTCGTTTCCACTCAGGATTCCAAGTTAGTGCTTGCCTCGTGATTCAGTTTGATAATTCGCTTGTAGGGCCAGTGAAAATCCACTGAGCCCTAGCCATTGATTATCGAACAAAATCATCAATCCTTGTCAATGTCAAGGAAAACCAACGCGCATCAGTTAATCGTACGCCATGGAATGACGCATGCGGCAGTGGTCTTACCTTCGCTTGTGTGTACTTTAACTAATATATTTCTGTAATAACGTCCTCTGTGTTGTACGGTCTTCAAAGCATCTATAGTACCTTGATACGTCAATGGGGTAATCTATGTAAGGTGCAGACCGTGAAGTGTGACTTCGACGTTAGCTAGTTTGTCACACCACTCACGTCTAATTCGAGTAATCCTTCAATCATTTCGACGTAGATCATCCACGCTGGTGATCTACACTGGTGAGCCCGACGTGATCTGTAGCGGTAAATAATTCCCCAAAATCAAATAGCTCGACATTGGATGCTGACAACAGTTTTAGTGGACTCATCTAGCTGAAGGCGCTCGGTCAAGCATCCGCACCAAATCACGTGTGGGAACGCCGTGCTCAACATCTGCCGCAATCGCTAGCCAGATTAGCGTAAACGATCCTCGATATATTGATAGCTTATCAAATATATCTTCGATCTCCTCACCTCTGTCTTTTGATTTTACTTGGTGAGTGTGCTTCGTATTAAAAGATGTTACTGGTTGAAGCGTTGTCAAACTCCGAATACCTGTGGCATCTTCACGCTCACTGTATCCTATCCACTTCCAGTGTCTTTCCCTAATTTACAGCTCAGATGGAAGTTGGTTTGTTCTTGCCCACAATAGGCTGTTGCTGATCGTATACGGCCAATCGATACTGAATATCTTACGTACAAAATTGTTTATAATTACTTATCTCTTTTTGATGATGGGGTAGTTCTTCATTTAGCGTAATATTTATTCATTTTCAGTATGACACTTGACTTTGGTTCTAGGATCAGTGTAATATATTAGTCGGAACAATAATGGGTTCATATCTCATAACGTAACATTATCTCAAATCAATATGTTTCTAAATAATTAAGCGTAAATCTTGTTCAGTATGACAGATGTAAACTTTCATTCAATGTAACAACCATATTCTCTGTGTTATCCTATGCGAATTTCGAATATTTTTACGGTAAACCTGTATACCCTTTTATATGCATGATATTTATTAGTTAAGAACCAATAATGTTTAGAGCCAATGAATTGATGTCTGTGCGTGGTTCAGTGTCATTCTGTTTTTGGAGAGTCAATCAAACTTCATTATTGGTTTTGTGTTGTCGTTTCCCTTCGTGGGAATTACAACGGTTATCGTTTCTAAGCAGAAGCAGCAGAACCGTGAATGCTACGGCATTCTAATTGCCACTTAAGAAATGCTTTCGGTTGCATCTGTGATTAGTCATCTGGGTGTATCTGCATCCTAGTGTTGACTTTCGTGCAAGGACTTGAACCTAGGATCTCTCACTTCAAATGCCCGAAGCGTTATCCACTAGGCCTCTGGGTCGAGAAAATCTTACAAATTAAACAAAATCCATTCCGTTGCGCAAACGTATGATAGAATGACTATACCGCGGCAACCAGCACGAGATGTACATAGGCCGACTGAGACTGTTCATTATTCAGTCAAGAGTTTCAGAAAATGCACAAGTAATAACTTATAAAGTCAAATAGTGTTACAGACGCTTTCTAAACTTTGGTTTAATCCTCTACTGCCGTGAATATTACATAAACAATGTGTTATTTCACATGCATAAGTAGGAGATTTGGTAAACAGCGACTTCTCTTATCAACTAGCTTGTTGGTCTATAAGGACAGTTTTGCTTTTCGTCGCTTATTATTCATTGAATAAATTTTGAGCAATAATGAAGTTTGGTTGACTCTCCAAAAACAGAATGACACTGAAACACGCACAAACATTTATTCATTGGCTCTAAACATCCTTGTTTCCTAAATAATCAAGTAGCTAGTTTAGTAAAAACCTGATTTATTGAATGGTGTTAATCAAATGAATTCTAACTTCAACAGCGAACTGGGTACCTTAGTGATCTCTCATACTAACATCCGTCCAATCGGCAGAACCTGACGATGAACATGACCTAAGATATTGTACGCAAAAGATTGGCGTTGAGCCTATGTACAAATAAATGAATACTGAAACGCGACCTACTTCAGTTTTTGGGCATTGAATACGATGTTAAGTATACGACCTTAAGTGTTGGAAACTTAAATCCGTTACTTAATACTGCGCATTTCATTAAGACTATTGCTTCGTTATAATGAAAATTCACCATAGAGAACAGATGAGCCCACCTTGTCTGTGGGAATGATTTTTGGAATTTTGACAGTTTTTGCTATTATTTCCTTCACAATAACCAGTAAGTTATTTTAATTTTTTAAGTGCTGTATTATTGTTAGGATTTATAGCATAAGTAGGAGATTGGGTTTATCGTTCTCCTAGACGAGTCCGCGAACTTGTAAGGGCCTTTGTCTGATACTTGCATACTTAAAGTGTAGTGTCAAATTTACTTTGTCTGTTTAGCAAGGATAAGAAACATTGGCAGTTCTGTTCGAGTTAATTGCCACCCGAAACTTTAATTAGGCTGATTTTTAAAATTATGTGGACCTTCTTCTTTCACCAGTTTGCTAAGTAGACTTTTATCTTGAGTCTGTTCTATTTCATGCATATTTTGCCTGTCGACAGCATCATAAATCGATGTGCTGAACGCGTATTCAATGAGTACACGTTTCGTATATGGCCGAAGTTTAAATAGGCATATTTCAGCAGTTCGAAGTTAAGTATGAAACATTAGGAGATGTATTTCAAATGGCTTCTCAAACGACATTTTGTCTTTTACCTTCATATCCAGGCTCTAAAAACGATCTCTTTGCAGTTTGCTGCTCAGCTTAAAAGATTGATTCAAGGTTTTATTATAAACATGCAGTTTTGTTACGGGACCACGAGACATGACTTGGCGTTTAGAAACAATCACAGAAGTTAAACTCACTGAGGAATGAGTTTCTTGATTTTAGAAGAAAATTTTTGCCTCATTTTGTGCATTCTGAACTGGTTTATTATTGCACTCAGTGGCCTATGTGTATTGTAGAAGCTTATGTTCGGTGGAATAAATCTTTAATTCCGTCTGAGTGTTTAAACATGAATGTAATTTCAGTCATATTGTCTTGCATTTGCCTGTATATAATCCAAAACCAAAAATGCCATTATGATGAAAGTTGTATAGTTGCCGTTATATTTGTAAGTTTAGAACTAAAAGCGATTTAAATTTTTACTGTTAGTTTAAAGATGTATGTTTTGGCATTGGGTCATGTGTGAATGATCAATAGTAGTGTACTCACCATAATATTACTAGTAGACGACCTTTTTCACAAAAGGAAGCCTAATTCCAATGTAAAGATCAATTAAAATAGTTTACCGTAAAGAAATAAGTCACACTTTGTACATAAGACGAGTACAAAGAAACGCTTATCGTTTGATAGCCAATTTGGTGTATTGACTCATTAATAGAATTGGCCGAAAATGTTTCAACTGTTAATCCGGTAACTTCGTCAAACGTCTTGGTCTTTTTATCGCTTTTTGTAATTATTCTTAGACTTTATGACGCATGAACCTAACTTAAGCACTAGACTAGTCTTGTTGCCAAAGTTGTTACCACTTTCAGTTTGTTATTAATCCACTGATTTGCAGGATTCGTAAATTTGAACGAATGTCATATTTTTGACGAAACATTTAGAGTTTGGTTGGCCTTTTGATAATCATCTTCTTTTAGTTGGATGAGGTCAGGAATTTCGTTTTAAATACGTGAAACAGCATCATCGTCGATCATCCACCGTGACTAAAATAATTTTAAAATGTCTTAAACTCAGTGTGTTTGGTCCGTATACCAAATGCGTATATTATTTGTTTTCTGTCATATTTCTTGAATTCCTGGTATTTATTGATCGGTTGTTAAAGGTGTGTTTTTTATTTAGTGTTTGTTCATTATTTGTATCTGGGATTGCAGGCTTTTTGTTCGATTTTGTTTGCGTTATGCTCTAATACTGCTGTTTTGGCAACTCTTGTTTTTGTGTTTTTAGGGCCTTTCCAAATTTACCGTTTTTCAATAATCTGTGGGACCTTGCGGTTGAAAATATTTTGAATGTTTCGCTTATAATGCGATATCATATTTTTATTAATTGCGTTGCATAGCTTTTCAAAGATAAAGTTACCTTTTCCAGACCGGTTTTTTCTCAAAAGCATTATTCATTCCGTTAGGTCTACACAGACATTTTTTTACAATCCAATTTCAAACTATTATGATTATATCTTCAAAGTCATAAATTATGAATGATTTGACACACCACATCTTGTGATATGTATTATTAATTAGATCGCGGTTTCGCAATTTCGCGGTTTGTCAGTTCAATTGTTAGTTTTAATATTCTGTTTATTCACTGAACAGAAGTTAGTTCAGGAATCAATTAAAATATGTATTTTCAAAATGCTTCATATACTAAACTTTGTTTAGAACGTGAAACTTAAGTGACGTGACAGTCATCATCATCTTTATACTTGGGTTGTGACTTGTAATAAAGTTGACTTCATATTTAAGCGAAAGGTTTTGACCACAAACGGTACCTAAACCATCTGTGACTTATATTTTTGCTCATCTAAAAACATGTGTCATATTCTCAGTCACATTTTTTAGTGTTAAGTTCTGTTGCTCGAGAAAATGTATGTTTAGTTATTTGTAAAAGTCCAAATATTACTTGTTGTTTTCCTGTCATTCATTTTCGTCATCTATTGTTAAAGTATCTTTTACCAGTGGTTTTAGAGTTAAAAAGAAGACATAAAACAGTAAATATTGTTTTAAGGTATGTGCAATCTTATGATTGTTAAAATTTAGAAAATTACGCTGAACAATTATTCAGTCACTTGATAAATGTGACAAGAGACAACATGAGAAAGTAATGTATTGAATCTTTGTGAGGCCGAAAATTATGTGATGTCGTTAAGTAAAAAGAACTAAACTAAATATCGTTAAAGCTAGTTATTTCAACGTCTTTGGTGTAAGCTCCTGGGAAATTGTATTTTCTGGGAAATATTTCAAGCACCCTTTATCAAAACAGTTCAATCTATTTTTGTCAACTCTCTCGTCAAAACATTCATCAGATAAAACAGCTTTCAGTTTCCTGAATAGAATCTTAACAGTGCTAGTTTATTCTGAGTGGAGAAAACGTTTTTTATCGTGCGACATCTATGACCCTACAAATTGCACCATCATTCGATAATTAAATATGAAGTTAATTTATTCTTTTGATAAAATAAATCCATACCGGCAGTCTTTGCGTATTAAACACTGTCGTCAAATTTGAAGTTTCCAGCATCAAGCATAAATCAATTAAGTATCCTGAAACACAAATGTTACGATATGTGTTTTATCAAGTATACATGGGAAGACTACCTGTGACACCTCGTTGACCTCTAAATTCATCTTAATATGCATTAATGAGTTTGATTTTCTCAAAAATTTGAATTGCTAATACTGATTACGAATAAACGGGTTTATTCCTATCACATGATCATTATTAATTACATATTAAACAGGTGAAATTACAAAAATTTACATTATAAACATCATCAAGCTTGTGTTTAATTGTGATTAATTAAAATAATAATGTTTTATTTTGTGCTTAGTAATTCCCAAATAAGTCAATGTTTCTCTCCTACACAAATCCATATAGATGCTCTGTAAAAACAATAGTGGATATAAATTCATTTTCTTTTTGATCATAAATATTTATTTGTAAATGTTTCTATAAATATACTAAATACCTTAAGGTACACAGGGAAAATATTCATGTACAATGTTTTTCAGTGATGTCCAAACACTTGATTTATCGTCCACTTATAACCCGCAAATATGCTTTACAGACTTCCACTTGGAATCTAACTGATCGATTATCATAAATTCATGCATATTTACTTATAATATTTATCAATTCCCACCCTTATGTAGTTAGATAACACGAAACTATTGAATGATAGATGATAGGTTCTAACGAAAATTACAGGCAAACTTTATATTAAAACAGTACCCACAATAACAAAAACTAATTATCAGTGAATTAAAGAGAAAAATATCATTGGAGAGAATAATCATAACATCATTGTTTCATATAAAATGACATTTTAAGACCATAAGCTGTACAATATACAACTGTCAGAATAGTTGTTAAATAATTTCGTGTATCTAAGACTAAAATCAATCAAAGAGGTGTACACATCGGAAAAGCAATATAATTATTTGGTATGTATGTTTGTTGTGTTCATTAATGATAGTAAAATAACGGCGGTTTGAAGAAAAGTTTTTGTTTAGTTTATCTAAAACTTTCTTCCGGAATTACTAAATATGAAATGTAGTATAATTTATAACAATGAATAGTTAGTCTGATTTGTTTCTATCTGGCTGAATAAATAAAATTGAGATCAACAAGGATTAAGGCGATTATTGTGGAATTAGTTTTAAATAATCCTAGTATTTAACATCAGATAGGAATTCTGACGGTATAAATTTGACTATAATCGTCACTAACTGATGTTTTATTGTACATGCTAGTTCTATGCATTGCTTAACTTTAATGTACATAATAAGGGGAGCTAAATGTATGGAATATTATGTTGCTTAATAGTGTTAACATAAAACGATGTTCAAATATTGTAGCTTGAATTCTTAGCTCTTGGTGTTGGTGTGGTATACAGTTAATTCTTTACAATATCTGAAAAGCAGCTATAGAGTTCACAGAGACTGATTTGATTTGAAGTTCGTCTTCGTTTAAGATTTAAATCATTTTGGGAACTGGTGAAAATCAGAAAGAACAAGACAAAAGAATGCGCCGATCATACGGAATGGAATTGAACATAGAACCTCTTGGAGTTTGTAACAAGAACTTCAGTTTAAGACATCTGGGATAGATCCCTTATAATCCATACTTCCAACTGCATCCAGTTAGCGATTTACTGATGGATAATCACATGTCTACAGGTAGGATGGAATTTACCTGTCACGATCTCTCAGGAGAACGTCTGGAATTCATTTACAAGTCAGTAACTAATGGAGATAATTTTAAATAGAGATTTTAATACATCGAATAACATTTAAAATTGCGTATTAAGTTTAAACTATATCTTATTTTAGTACAAATGTGTTGTATTTATCTCGACTGTGAAAGTTGGAACATAAGACGATCAAATTATTTAAGTGAGTGTTTTTTGCAAATTGCATCAAAATGTTCGAAGGAAACACTTCTTTATTTGTCTAAAAATTGGATACTAATTCTGTTGCAAACGATGGACTTACTCAAAGTCATGAAAAAACTA